TGGATTAAAAGGTTTGGTTTAAAGAAGCACATAAAGGTAAGTAGGCGTTTGATTTTGTTTAACAGGTTAAGTAGATGTTACAGAGGAGTTTGAGTTTGAAATCTCATAGCTAAGAGGAATTTAAATCCACCTTGCCTATTTTTTCCACTTTTAATCTTAGTTACTTAGTTTCATTACTGAGTTACTGTATGTGTGTGACAAAGGTGCTTAGAAACACACAGCATGGACATGCCCTCATCATTTCAGTGATGACTTTTCTAAAGAGTCTACAACAGCAAGAGGTAGAAACATAGTTGCAGTGACATGTGAAGGTGGTGGGAACACAAGAGCGATACACTATGTGGCATATGTGTGTATTACTCATGTGTTTCATGACATATTTCATGTGGTGTCAGAAACTCTGTGGCTGAACTTACTGTATATTTGTGTTTTTTTTAATGTAAAGCTGTCACATTTAATATGCTTTTAAAAATAACTTTCGTTTCATTTCAACAGTAATATTTGCTTATAGATGTAGAGTATAAGTTTTGTTTTCTTTTTATTTTACGACCCCAAAACCTCAAGTCACCATCATTTCCTCTGTACTTTGAAATATCCAAGGCCCTTGCTGTCTGTTCAGAGTGACGCAGCTGTAGGGTAACTATCAAGAAGATGAAGGTGAGTCTGTGCTCCTAAGGCAAAAGCAGCACATTTCTCTTAGGCATCATGAGTACCAGCCTGATTGTTGAGCTAAATGTCTATAGCAACCTATGCGATGGAAAGAAACCTAGGAAAAATCAGGACCCTCAAGGTTCAACATTTAAACTCTTAAGTAGAGAAACAAACTGCACCATTGACTATACATAGAGCAGCTGTAGGCTGCAACTCTGCTGCTTCCATCCTGGCTGAAAATGCTTACTGCTCAGGAAGGAAAGTGTCTCTCTAGTAGCTTGCACCTGTACTGCCACATTAGCTGTGGACAAATTTCACACTCCAAACGCCACGTGTCTTTATGCTGTGAACATACTGTCCCTGCTCTGATGCAAGCCTAGTGCGAGCCAGTGAGCACTTCAGCGGGGAAGCGCAGCGCCGGCAGGGAACCGGCGCACGCTCACGTGTTGGCCAGGAAACCAGTGCAAATAAAACTGTCTTGAATGAATCTGTCCTGGATTCAAACATGGCCTTGGGCGCAACTACCGGAGACAGGAGAGGGGCTGCCAGAACGCCCCGAGCTCTTCTATGCTGCAGAATCCCAAGCACAAGTAACACAGAACAGCTCAGGCTTTCTGCTGCTTGCCAAAAACTGCACCTGTCCTTCTTCAAATCATACTGATAGTGCAAATTAACACTTGGGAAACTGCTGTTTTTTGCTGATTAAGTTAGCAAGTACATTTTATCCCAGCTAGAGGGGGGAATAAAGATAATAAAACCATCCCTTATTTTCTCACCTATGCTGCTAACCATGGGAATGCAAAGCACTCCTTCTGCTCCCTCCTCAGTAAGTCCCACCTGCTGAGGAACAAGAGCAAATTACGCAGGAGGAGGTGAATTTTCCTGACACTTTCCAGGTATTTGTATATGTAACAGGAAGCCTATGGAACAGCTTCCTGACAGATGCACCTATGCAGCTAAGAACAAAACAGCTGGGTTGGTCTGACCGCGAGGCCAGGCTGTGCGTACTAGCCCCTTCTGCAGAGGCTACCAACAGGACTCTCTTCTGCTGGTGGGTTGCGCTTAATTGTATCAGCTATCAGTGCTTCATCACTGTTCTTCCTCTCAACACCTTACAGTTAATGCAGAGTTTGGCGCTGCACGGGCAGTGAGCCTAGGTGGGTGCTGGACCAGAAGACTAGCCAAAAGGTATGAGTGCGGAAGAGGGGGCTGTGCCCTTTGGAGGCCTTCAAAGACCTTTTCATCCATGTCACCTCTTAAACTGGTGGAGGAGATGGTAATTAAAATCCGGCTCTAAAGCACCAGAAGCCGGAGCAAACAAACAAGCTAATACCTTAATGATCTATTAAGGGATTGAAGAAGCACCCACTTGCAAGCCCTGGCTGGGACGGTCGTTGTCACTGTGATGCCACCGCAGATTGCTGGAGGATGGAAGGACATGAGTGCTCCAGGTGCTGCCAGTGTGGGCCCTGGCTGGCAAGTGCAGCTCTGTCGGGATGGAAACATGGTGTCCCTTGCTGTGCTGCCTGAGATGAAGCTTGTCACGCTGCTTCAAAGGCTTTGGTCCTGTCCGCAGTGGGCAGCTTATGTTGCTCCAGATCAATCACACCCAGGACCAGTGGTGCATAGTGTGCTTATGAAGAACAACAGCCTCTAAAACATGCCCCCAAAATCAGGAAATATAGGGATAGTAAAGGAGGTTAATTGATAATGTAATTATCCACAAGTGTCCAAATGGTTACTCAATGTTTAGCTGGAAGGCTGGCAACTAAGCAAGTCCTTATCAACCTGTTCTTCCTCCCTTGCTTGCTTTTATTGCTGCAGAATAGTATACGAACTTGGTCAAGTGCCAGGATTCATTTTGAATATACAAAGTCTACATCACCAGAGCATTATTAGTGTCAAAATCAGAAAAATTTCAAGCCTAGTATATATTTTTATGAGGGTGGTTTCTGAGGTAAGAAGGTATCCTTAAATGTGATCTTACAGATTCTTCTAATTTTTCTTTGCTGTGCTGGACATGCAAAATCAACCTCTCTGTCTTCCTAATTTCCAAGTGTAATTTTCCATTTAAATTTCATGGCCAGGTTACAGAAGCCCAAATGCAAATAGTGACCAAAACCAAATTAGAGTTTTCATATATGTTTGTCTTACTGACTCATATGAACTATAATTTTCAGGGGTGGGGGGGAGGGAAGGAGCTTATGATGCCAGTGTTATTCTTTGAAATAGGCTATACAAAAAAAATGTAGGTCAAATGTAGGGTTTGTTGAACTGACAGCACTTCAGTATTCACGTAATCCCTACTCCATTTGTGTTAATTAACTGAACCTTCCATTGTGTAATATAAGGATGCTGTATGTCTTAACCTTGGATTTCCTAACTAGCGTGATTTTTCTCCCTGCTGCAGACAGACACCACTGTTTCTGCGCCGAGAAGATGGGAGGTACAGACACAAACACTCACAAAGATTTTCAATTTTCAGCCTGTCTGGCTGCCACAGAAGCCGCTAGGGCTCACCTGGGGCATTTCTACCCCTGAAATACCATTGCCCAGCTTGCTTTCCCATGTCCTGAATGACATTATTCCCTATAGGGATAGATACACGTGTGACATTACGAACAGTGGTGATGAATGAAGGGATTTTGAATGGTAGAACAGAAACTATTTCCTCAAGGATGAGTAAGGACCAGGAACTTAAGCTCCTGGGAGAGTTTTGAGTTATTCCTGCAGCACTGGGAGCGTCCTGTGTAGTCCTGGGGCGCTGCAGACATGAAGCAGCCCTGGCCGGGGAGCCAAGGGGGCAGCGGGCAGGGAAGCAGCGGCTCTGAGGATGAGGGTCCAGAGGACCAGCCTGGGCCACAGCAGGCAGCAGTGCGGTGAAGTTGGGTGTTTTGAAGAGGAGAGCATGGGCGTTTTGATCCATCAGCCGTACGTGTCAATGGAAGCCTGTTGCTGGGTGAACTGGCAACAAGGAAAATCCTGAATACTCTTTTCCTCGTCCTGTGGCGGTGTCTGGTTGGAAAGGAGAGCGTCGGGCGCTGTGTTTCGCCCTCTGGCATGCGCGGTGCTTTGTGTGCTCCACACCCCACGCCGGGGTCCGCAGCTTAGCGCAGCCGCGTCCCCGTGGGTGTCGCGTCCCTTGCGTGTGTGAGAGAAGTACTAATTTCTCCATTCACGAGGGCCGCCGCGCCCGTCGCTGCTCCCCGCGCGGCGCCACG